TGGCTGAACCTGTCACCTGTGATCGGTAGAAAGGGAAAAAAAAAATAAGTGGAGGGGTGTGTAAATTTAAGGGGGAAAGGAAAAATTAATTAATTCGAAAGGAAATTTTTATCTATCGATTTGGAGTCGAAATGAACGAAGGAAAAGGAATCGTGTAATTGTGTGAAGAATTAGAACTGGGAAGGGAGGGAATTTTTTAAGGATTGGAAAAATGAACGTTGAGGAGAGAAATAAAGAGTCGATATTCAGGAGTAGTTTGAATAAGGTAAGATAAAATAAATTGACAAGGGGAGAAATTTTAATTCGTGCGATTGTGGAAAGGGGAGAGGAGAAAAATTGTCGAGAACGAAGATCGCCGTGATTAAAGAAAGAAATTCTTGATGATGATGATAATGATGATGATGATGATGATATTCAGAATTGTAAACGTAGTGCAGAAGAATTAATTGACTTTAAAAAAATATGAAAATGCGAAGAAGCTAAGAGGAATTAATATTAATTTAAAATAACGAATGAGGGAGAAATTAATATAAATATATAAAGAGAAGGGAATTTTGCGCAAGTTTATCACGTGATATGCTCATGAATAAAATTCGAGATAAATAATATCGATAAAACAAACGGATATTGAAAAAACAAAAAGTAAAAAAAAATAAATAAATAAAAGTTAATTAACAACAAGATGGAAATGATAAAAGCGATTGGGATTATTAAATAATTCATCAAAAATCCAAAGGGAGAATCGAACGAGCGATATTAAACAATATATCCATGGAGAGTAAAAAGAATGGAAGAGAATCATTAAAACACTGTAACACGTGTAAATAAAAATTTCGAAAGTAATATATCAAATATCCGATATCGTATTACGGGGATAAAAGTAGAAGGAATAAAAAAAAAAAAAAAAGAAAAAATATCGATTTGGAAATTTTCAAACAACAAACAACAAATTTACAAATAATATTCGAATTCGTCGTCGAATATAAATATATATGATTCTCGCTATTTTTCATCCTGGATAAATCCTTCCCCCCCCCTCTCCCTGTTAAATCCACCCGTATTTAACATTTTCATCCGCGAAACGGATCGAGCACAACACGGTGTGGTAACAACGAGATGGAACGAGATGGATTTGAGAAAAATAACGAGGTATCTGTCCCCGTTTCGCAGCTCCAATTAAATTAAAACGTATGCTAATTAGGATTGATCTCGATGTATTGTGACCGGCGCACACGGCCAGGTGTTAATTGAGGCATAGATCCGCTGGTCAACCAGTGGCGATCGATTGGCACGATTTAGGCGGACCGTTTGCCCGGTTTGATTGTTTGAGTTAGTTGTTGCCCGCGCGTTTGTCGCATCTCTCTCTCTCTCTCTCTTTCTCTCTACTATACCGACGGAGAAAATTCGACGGACGAAAGTTTAATCGATCCAATTTTTCGATTCTTTGGGAAACGAAAAATTGAAGGATGGATTTTTTTTTTTTCTTTTCGTTTCGATCGTCGTAAAATTCTTTCTCTCTCTCTCTCTCTCTCTCTCTCTCGAGTCATCATCAGGATTGTCCCTAACAATGATGACTTTTTTTTTTAATTTCCACTTTACTTTCTTTTGCAAAAATTTCTATAATTGAAATTCTATTATAGAAAATATTTCTTTCTTCTTTAATAATCGTTGAATTCATTTATGGACAACAACGATGATTCAATTTTTCATTTATATATATGTTCTTTTTTCATACATTGGAGGATAGATATTTTTCCCAAAATCGTACAAATTATCGAATATTATGTTATCTCGTCTCGCGCAAATTAACCGTTCCCTCGATCGTCTCAACATCTTGAAGCATTAGGCAAGAGCTTAAATACTCTAACGAGATTAGATTCAGCGTGGAGAATCTCGGTCATAAAACTGAAACCGCATAATGGAGATCCATGAAACTGGGGAATTGGATGAGAAGCTCGCTGAATCGGCCTTTGCCAGTCATGATGGATCCTCTCAAGGGCGTTGCTGAAGCCGCAGAGAGGGAGAGAGAGAGAGAGAGAGAGAGAGAGAGAGAGAGAGAGTTTAGGCGCAATGGGTCGATGATTTCCGGAAATCATTGGGCTGAAAAGAGCAAACAAACGCGGCCTGTTATTCGACGAACACCGTTGCACAATGAAACGTTTTCATTTCGGGGGTTGAAACCCCGTCGAGTTGAAAATTGTTATCGAGATATCATTTTAAAAGTCACGAAACATTTCACATTTAATAATAAAATAATTAATTCAATCATTCGATTTATCTGTCACTTAATGAGGATATAAATTATTCGTTGTTATTATTAATTTTAATGAAAATAATTGGAGTTGTATGAAGCGAATAACAAGTTTATTATCAAGATTGTTGCACAGTTTCCGTAATTATTATTCGAGGAAAAAATTTTTCGATCGAAAGAACAAACGTTACAACGATCTATTTTTATATTTTCAATCGAATACAACGTAATGATCTATCTAATCTTGTCAAATCTAATTTGGAATAATTATCGTGTTTGAGTTAAATTTGGCAAGAAGAAACGAAAAACATTATTATTTGTTAACAACGATGGAGATGAGCGAAACGAGGTAAAGAATTATCATGGAAGATTGATTGAATATTAATTTTAACGGATTTCTGGATTGATACAGAGGATAGATTTCGTTTTTTATGCTCGATCGAACGAATAAATTGTATAATTGATCGATTAGAAATTTTATAGAGAAGTTAACGGTTTGATTATAATATTGAATCATTGTGGATGGCAGATAATTAGAATTTTCGAATCCTATATACCAATCGAAATATGAAATATGACTGGAGACATATTTCAAAGACAATTGACTTTAAGAATATTTAATTTTCTATCTTCGTTTAATTGAATTTGATAATTCATTTTTTTATTTTTTTTTATATACCAATGGTGATAGATTTTAGACACCCTATGTATAGTTTTGTTCGCTCCTTTTGCTCTACCGTTAAATTGTAACAATTTTCCAAGTTAATTAATGATCCTTGGGTAACTGATTATTCCACGGGGACTAGGCGCATACATTGTCATTGAATTTATCGCAGCCATCCGCAGCAGGAAGAATTTCCATCGAGTCAAAGAAAAAATAAAGTTACGAGAGACACGAATATCCAAGTTCGAACGATATTAAAAATCTTGAATTTTTACAAATTTTTCCAAATCTTGTCTTCTAAATTGTAATTATCGTACCAATATGATAAAAATCATATTTTCCATTCAAAAAGATTAATCACGAATCATTCCAACTCGGATCTTGATTAATAAAATAATTATAATTAATCGTTCCAAAAATATTCTCTCTCTCTCTCTCTACGAGAAATTATTTAAAAATTATTCCGGGAAGAAATAGGCGAGCAAAAAATTATATAATCACCGGCCAACCAACAGTCGAGAAATTCGAAATATCCCTCCCCCCCTGTAAAAATTAATTAAAACGTCGTGTCCCGGGAAACAAAGGGGAGGGGGATTAAAGTTCTCCACCAACCGATTCTCCGCCATCGGCAATGGCCGATTTTCACGGATTCGCGTTGTAAAACCGAGATTTTTATCGAGTTGATGGAATTAATATTCATTCGAGATCGGTGGTGGGAAAAAGGCTCGAGAGAAATTTGCGTACGAGACGACTCTGTTTTGATAGGAACAAAAAAGGGAGGGAGAAAGGGGGGGGAGAAGCCGTATACGGGTTTTCCAAGTTGCTGCTGCCTTGAGCCTCGCCATCGAATGCCTTTCGTACCTCCCTCCCTCCCTCCCTCCTCTTTCGCTTACCGTCTTGCGCAACGTTGCTCGTGGCCGGTGCCCCTTCTCACGTAACGGGTGACCCGGAAGTAATTCGGCCAGATTTTTTTCGTAGTTTCTGTTAATGAAAAAAACCAGGGCTGCGCGATCCTCTCGCGGAATTAAAAAACTTTCGCCGCGTTTTAAACTATTTTCGCCCCTTGGAGATGGGGGAGAGCGTTGGAGGATGGAACTGTCCATACCCCTTTCGATTCTCGCCGCTTTTATCCCGATGTACGCTGGATATTTTTTTTTTTTTTTTTTTTATTGCACGAAGTGAAACTAATTTTTAGGGTGTGAAGATTGAAAATTTCTTTGGACGTTGATTAAATCAAGGATTGTTTGAATAGTTGGAATTATGAATAATAGTTTAAAAAATGGTGTGCTTACTTTGAGTACGATTGTAATGTTCATTAAATAATTAATTAATATCGATTATTGTTAGTAATATTTGAATGAATTATATTTATCAGTGGAAACGCTTCAACAAAATTGATATATATATATATATCAATTACGTGTCAAAAATTTAGGAGAGTGAGAAAATTTAAAGTGTGATATCTCTGAATTTCATCGACAGGTGGCAGCACCGATCGAAAATATCGGGATGCAATTTTTTGAGGCTGTTTCGAGGAAAGGAGAAACCGTGGAGTGAAGTAAATAAGGGAGAGAAGTAAGCATAAATAGGAAGGCAGCGTCTTTACTCGACACCCTGTAGAGAGTGGGAGGCTCAACGAGGCTCCCTGGATACCATAGAAATACCTCGACGGGTACAGTTTCCGTCGTGGGAATGAGGAAATTCCGGGATCCTTAGCCGGGAACAAACTGGCCCCAAAGCGAGTGCCAGAATTCTAAACGAATTACGACAAACGAATTACGCGACACCGAACCCTTTAATACCTGTGTCGATCCCACCTTATTTCAATTTGCTTGCACGACTCGTTCTTTGTAATTCGAACGGTATTTCCTTTTGAAAATTTTTTAAAATCTTCTTAAAACAATAGTATCAAGTGTTCAAATTTTTTTTTTTTTTTTAAACGATGACATCGATCGTTTAGAGAGTATAAAAATTTTGGAAAAAACCAGAAACAATTTTATTCAAAATTCCTTCTTCGTCTCTGTAAATGTAAAAAAGATAACCTTTATATACAAAGTCGATTTAGTTTGTTTCCTGTTGAACCAGAGGTCTCTGATGCGAAATGTGACACACGGTGATGGGGAAAAAATGGCAGTGCTCGACATAAGATTCACGAGGAATCAGAGGAAACTTCTTCATCGTTACGTCGTGCTCGCAATCTTGGCGAGCCTCCTTATCGGCCTCGCTCTGTTTTTAATGGGGCTGTTCGTCTCGCTCGCGATCAGTGCGAAATTACAATTGCAGGAGAGGAATCTGTTCGAGCTGGTGTTTTACACCTTGATGTTGTACGGCCTATACGTGTTCTTTCACAATCTGATGGGCATGAAGCTCTGCTACAATTACTTCCATTACGCCGAAGGGTAACTTTTAATCTTTTAATATATTAATTTCGTTTAAATTGTATGAAAAATAAATAAATTCTAAATTGTAATGTATATATGGTTAGGTTAAAAAATTATCAGTAGAAGTGGATTGTAGAATTTTATAATATATTACCTTTTTGGTAGAAAGAAAAATTATTAAATTTGCATAGATATTTAGGATTATTGGATATTTGTGCAATTTTTAAAAATTCCTTAATTTTTCCACACGAATGCGTAATTTTTAGAGAACGCGAAATCGAATCGATTCTTCCTTTAATTCTTTCGCGATGAGCGGAAGAAAAACGTGGCTTCGTAAGAAAATAAAACTTCATTTCTCTTCGAGAAACTCTTAATTCTTACTCTCAAATCGTCATATCACCGAGATCTTCTCGCATCTGATTATTTTACCCTCTCGAAAATTCGAATTTTATTTACCAAAAATTGTTATAATCTAATTAACCGATTCTTCAATATTCACTTTCCTCCAATTTTTCCCAACATCCTTTCGATAAACACGAAAAAAAAAAAAAGAAAGAAATTTAAAATTATTCCCGAAACGTATTAATTAAAATTCAAAACCCTTCGATTATCCCTCGAAAATGAAAATATTGTAAAATTCATTTACAATTACGCGTAATCAATCAGGGGAAACGTTTGTGGTATTATCGAATTTTTTTCATCGAATCAGCGATTAAAGGGGAATAAAAAAAGGGAGGAGGAGAATGAAAAAAAAAATAATAAACGAGGAGGCACGATCAATGTGTGTCGAGGCACAAATTGCGAAAGGGAGAAAGGATAAAGTTAACGAGAGCAAGAATTATATCCTTGATATTTCGAGATCCATAGATCAGTCCAGTTTTCAAGTCATTCATTAGGGAAACGTCGGATGACGTGAACACGATCAATTGGCCCTCTCGCAATCGGGTCCACAGCACAATGCCGCCGTGGTATCATTACAAATTGGCGAGAGAAGGAAAAAAAAGAAAGGAAGGGAGGGGAGGAATGGTGTTTTATCGTGGAAGAATAGTGTGAACGTGCGGATGGATGAATATTTTTTCGTGAAAAGAAAAGAAAAGAAAGGTTTGAGCGAGGATTGAAACGAGTGGCGAGAGGGTCGTAAAAACGGAGTGTGTACACGTGTTCACCTCGTCGAAATTATGGATCCTGGAAAATTTGGAGGGAGGGGGAATAAACGTGGTATGAAGAGAATAATCAATTACTTTATCTGGACGGATATTTGTTTGTTTTCGAGCTGTTGCTTATCGATCTCGACGGATTGATAGATACGTTCATTGCTTTAAAAAAAGGTACATTGAAAGATGGATAAGTAATGTGACACTAATTATCCGTTAAAATTAACACTCTGCACACATTTTTGACCTCTTTAAAAGAAAAGTATAATATGCATTTATGCACTTTTTCTTAAATATTACTATTACTATTTTAACTATTATTCGTTAAATTCATCGATTATTATTTACTTTACAAACTCGAATAATTGCTCGCTATATCTGGTTTCGTTCGGTATACGCTTTATTTAATTAATTCGTCTTGAATCGAAGAAAAAAAAAAACAAAACGTTGAAACGAGATATCTACCCGTTCACGCAACGTGTTAAGCATACGAGTTTTAAAAAAAGAAAATCGTACAATCCGCAATTTTAGAAAAGGGAAACTAAACTGGAAAGAAATATCCTCGATTCCTCGATGATTCCTGGCAAACGAATTTCACGGCAATTTGAGGAAAGTTAAGAAAAAGGGATCGACGATCGACGCCCTCGTGCCATTCGATTTTTTTTTTTTTCTTTTTTTCTTTTTCACGACTTCACGGGATGAAGAGAAACGACGAGATGGGCGAACGGAAAAACAAAAAAAAAAGGAAGGGAAAAGTGGCGAGAAGTGGATTCGAGAGAATTAACCTTTGGCGTGTTTTTCTTAATTTCTCCTCCTCGCTTTTTCATTCCCCCCCCTTTTTCGTTTCGAGCTCGAATCGAGGGCCGATCGATTTGTCAGAATTTTCGAGTAATTCCGCCGATGGCCACCCGCGCCTCATTCGTTTTAATTTTTAACCCCTCCTCCCCTCCCTTCCCCTTTTTGCTCGTTAACGTATCCTCGCGGTTTCGGAGTCGGTGATCGGAGATTTTTGTTGGAAATTGGAAAACTGGCGAAATTGAACTACCCTTTCGTCGTTTTCCCCTTGCTTCGAAGGAAGCGATTCTCTCTCTCTCTCTGTCTTGGATTAAAGGTGGATGATAATGATAGATGAAATCCGCTGGTTTCAGGCCGTGGATGAATCTGAGACTGTTCGTGTGGACTTTGGTAGGGCTGCTCGTGGTCCTCGTGGGATGCTTCATGGCCAGCAAATCGTTCTCCACCGCTGATTATTTGACGGTACAGCTACGGGCTACTCTCCTCGAGGGTGAGTTTTAAAAATAATAACATTGAAGGAAGAGAATTGGCAAAATTTCCAATTGTTAATTGATAAGACAAGATTCGGTCAGAAAAGTTTACGAGTCAGAAACTAACTCGTACGATCAATTCTATTCCCTTTAAAACAAGATTTTATAAAAATGAGATAATGATGAATCACTGACACACGCGATTGAAATTAAATCCATCGTTTCTTGTTAATTCGAATCGTTTCTTCGAAATTCGAAAATTTTCCAAATATAATAATAACGCTAATTGTAACGTGAAATTCCCCGAAATCCCGGCCAATTCGAACAACAATAAACCCCGAGGGGCATCGTTTTGTAAAGGTAACGCCATTAACGAAAATGAAAGCAAGGGTAACGGTATCCACAGTTGTGTGCTGGCTGTGGCCGGTGGCTGGTAACCCCATTTTCCGAAAACAGAGAGGGTAGCCGGGCCGGAAACCAGGCTGGAGTCGTGAAATATTCATCGACAAGTGATGTGTGCGAACGGTGTTCGCGGATCGGCAGGTGGCAACGCGCGAATTCATTTTCTCTGCGCGATCGCCTCATGAACGCCGCCTATTCGTTGTACGTTTTTTTACGTCTCCCTCTCTTTCTCCCATTGTTCACTGTCCTCTATTTTCGTACCCATCCGTTTTCTCCCTCCGAATATTTGAATATTTTAACAAGAGGAAAGACGATCACAGAGATGGATCAAGGAGGAGGAGGGTGGGATTTATTCGTCGTTATTCAAAATGAATATGATAATCTTAAATGGTATAGCAAGAGGGGTATAATTTCTTTTTAACAAATAAATAAAATGTATATATTCTATGAGAAAGGGGAGGATGAAGAAAGATCTAGAGAGAAAAAAGGGGTGATTGGAGAAAGATTCGAGAGGAATTTTTATTACAATTTATTTAAAAAAAAATATATTTCTTATATTTCTTCTCTTCAACAAATTGTTCGATGCATCGTTGTTCGAATTCCACGTCTATATCTCGACGCATACCCAACACTACCGTTGCTTATTAATCGTGATTTTCGATTAATAAGCTCCGTAACGAATATTTTTCTCGATGTTATCGAGAATATACCCTCAAATACTCCCGCGATATTGTTTCCTCTAGCCTGTAGAAAGTTTTCACGATCGGTTTTGACGATTCGCGGCAGCGCAGATTTTACAGCTGCATGAATCGCGATATGCCGATGAGATATCGCCGCCGATATGGCGGACAGATGGCGCAGCCGGCGCGAAATAGTAAGCCTGGTCTATCTACGTGCAATATGCAAATGGAGGGCCGAACGGGGCGCGCCGGCTGCCCCCGGTGTTCGAAATTACCGATGGAAATCTCGTTTCGCGTCTACCTACTTAATGAACAGATACGCACGCGTACGGCTCCTACGATCTCTGAAATTCGAAACGTTTGCTCGCGATAAACTTGGACGGATGATGGAACCTGTTATACCGGCTCTACGCAAATTTCCCTTGATTATTACCCCGAATCCGCGAATACGATCGTCCCCCTACGTTTGCGAATGAAAATTGGGCAAGAATTATTCATGGTGGAACGACTAAACTGTAATAAGAATATCCAGAATATATATATATATATCTCAAATATAGTTTTTAAACGAATTTTGCATTAGATTTTGTTTTAGAAATTTTAAGCTTGAATAGTAGTGTAAATAAATTTCGATAAAATCTATCTCTCGCTGTAACTTTTAATTTATGTAACTTATGAGTAACTACGAAGGATGGGTGTTCCCAAGACATGTTGGAGGAGGGGGTTCGAGTTGTCGAAGTTGGCGAAATTGTAAGTGCTAGGATATGTCACGGACAAGGAACCTAAGGGAAACTCCTCGTTGATAGTTTAGTTTGGGATGCGTTCTCGGATACGAAACAACACTTGTATTAAGCTGTGATTAAGTAAGGAATTCTGGGATTTATTCCGGGAAATTGATTTTTTTTTTTGGATTTTATTTTAATTAAAATTTAAGATCTTTTGTTTAACTATAATTTTTTCTTTATTTTATATCAAGTTACTTCATATTCAATATTAATATTATACGATAATTAGAAATTTCAAAAATATATTTCGTAGTGTTATCTACGAATATGAGATTAAAAATATAAGAATTGTTCTTAATAAAAATGAAATCCAACATAATTGAAGCTCCTCAAAGCGAAGCTTCAATTTATAAATAAATTTTCTGATTCTGAACTCTTGTTCTCTACTCTACTTGATTACTTGAAATAAAGAAATATAATAAAGATTGGGATTAAATTTCGGATAAGAGAATCAAACAAATGAAAGTAAATATAAAAGAACGATCCAACTCAGAGTGGAAAGTTTTAATTGTCGGTATTTAAATTACTTGGACCGCAAATTTTTTAATACGTAACACGCGAGGAAATTTCAATTTTCCACGAATTTTCGTGCCACTTCGCATACGTGGTGGACAAATTCCCTCGACGGGAATATAAAATATCGGAAAATCGTAGGCCACCAAGAATATTTCTATCCCGTGGAATTCGACGCAGTTATCCCCGCAGGAGAATAATCGAGATATTCGTGTATATTATCCGATGATTCTTCCCTTCGTTTCGATAATCCTTGTACTCTTTCTTGTCCGATTGGCCCGAAGGGATGTCGATTTTTTTAATCTTTTCGAAAGAATAATCAAAGTTTCTTGAATTTGGAGAATAAAATATAGGAGGAAATTCTTCTGTATATTTCCAAATCTTGGAAACTTTCCATTTTTCTAGATAAAATTCTTTTTTCTTTTCAGCAGTGTATGAATTAATTTTAAAAGAATCGAAAAATATTGGAGAATATTTTTTTCAGAATTGTTCAGAATAATTTTGTAGAATATAAAAAAGTCCATCCGAATTTTAGAAATTTTAATTCCAAAAAAAAAAAAAAAAACACCACTCCATTTCGTCGAATTTCGCTTTCCTAACCTAAAATTTTTCCTCCTTTTGTTGGAACACAGGTATGAAGAAGTACTTCACGGACATCTCGTGGAAGCGTAGGATAGACAGCATTCAGGTGGGTATGCAGTGTTGCGGGATAGATTCATCCGACGATTGGCACAAGACGTATTGGCTTCAACGAGAATTTCTTGTAGTCGACTCGCCGGATATCTTGAAGTAATTATCAGTTAATTATATGCCGAGGGACAATGTGCCGTGTAACAACGTAATATCGACCGGGTAAAATCTATATCGTATCCCCGTTTATCGGCCCATTATCTTCCTACCCTCTCCTCGTCGTGGTGCACGAACAATGCACCAAGGATTATCGCCTTGCGATCGTCATCGCGTTTCCTTAAAAGTATATTAAAAGTAGTGCTCGAAATGGAACATGCTGGAGGAGAAAGAGAAGCGTATGATTAAAATTTTATGTTAAACAGTAACGATTAAGCATATAATGTACATTACCACAAAGATGAAAAACTTGGGGTGATAATAACAAGGGGGTGAAAAATAAGGTTTCATTGTGAAATATTTTCCACAAGAGAAATTGTCAAGGGGTTAGGTAAATAATAAGTAGATTTTTATGTAATTAATTTAGAAAGTTAGTCGAGAGGGATTTTCTTGATTTTCTTTTCCTTTATTTTTTTTTTTTTTTTACAGAAAATTTACAGCGGTGTATCTTGAAAAATATTGGTTGGAGATGTTTTTCAGAATTGTTTGGAATAATTTTGTAGGGTATAAGGAAGATTGCATAAGATCACATGCATCTCGTTCATTCGAGTAATAATAATTTCCAGGGGAATTGTAATAAAAACGCAATTGTTACAATTTTTCAAAAATTGTTATGTTACTTGATCTCTTAAAAGATTTCTTTAAAATCTTGGAGTAAATAGCATGAGGGAAGAATAAGAGAGTAAGAAAAAGAAGAAGAAGAAGAAGAAGAAGATACGTTTTTCACCCTGGTTGTAAAGGGGCAATTGCAAAGTTCCACGCCCTACTAGAGAGATGCTACTAGAAAGGATTTAAAAAGATGGCTGACCACGAGGTAAAGTGGCCTTCCATGGGCTCCAAATTATTTCCACGGAGTGGTGGCGCCCTCCACTTCCGCTCTCATCCAATTCACTCTACTTACGGGCTCTTTCGCTTTTAACCAAAACGTACGAGAACGTTTAGATCCGGATTCGGGGATGTTTAAGATTCGTTTGTTGCTTCCACTGATAATTCTAACTGTCTAATCAATCATCGACTTGTAAGAGGAATACACCTCTTTTTATTCGATAAAAAATCCTCTGAAAAGTACATTTCTTTTTCATTCTTCTTCGAAATCTCTCAATCTCAATTCTTATAATTATAACCATCAATTTGTAATTCAAAATTCGCATTTTTCTAAAAGTTGAAGGAACATTTTAAATTTTCGCGCCTTATCTCGATCTTCAATTCGAATCAAATGTTTAATCTTCAAGAAGAAGATTTCCTTTTCTTTTCCTCTTTTCTCTTCTTTTTCTTTTTCTTTCCTCCTCGAAACGCGATCGCGATAAATTCTCGCCTCGTCCTCATAATCTTGGAAAGGTTCTCTCTATATATATATATATGGGAATCGTCGGTGGTTGCCGAATTTTCTGGCCGCGCAGAGAGGCGGAAGTAACGGATGCGAAACATTTGAACGAAACAATTCATCCCTGGATGCTCCCCTTTGCTTGAGAGAGTAGTTTCGCGGTAATTGCCTAATAGTCAGGTTTCTGCAGGGCTGACGTATGTGTGCATTAATGCGGTGGCGGTAATACGTTCGATAATAAAGGGTTAATAGCGCGTTCCGAACAGAAGCCTTTGTGTCGCGGCTGGTAATCGCAGATAGAACAGTGGGTTATCGATTTCTCGTTATGTTAATTGCAGAATTATACCTTCCAACTGCATCGATCCACCCTCCTCCTCCTCCTCCTCCTCCTCCTCCCCCTTAGCCGCAACTATTCCCAAACCGTCGACCGCCCCCTCCTCCTGTTTCACGTCGATCTCGTAAAATCCATCCAGGGATTATTCCGTATAATAATAGCGACGACAAGGAGTTAACTCGATAAGGAGTAGCGTGCCGTAACATCGTTTTAATTATGAATAAAATTTTCGCCCCTCCTCCTAGAAGATAAGTTTGAAGAAGAGCTTCTTCCTTCTTCTTCTTATGTATTTCGAGTAATTTTCACCGATTTCGAACGAGATAAATTTTTTAATTAATTAGGAACCGAAAAGTTCTCGAAAAATAATTATTCTGCAATTAACGTAACGAGAATAAGAAACACAGGAATATCTATTCGATTCGTAACATTCATAATATTGTAAATCCATGATGAAATTTGATAATTATTGAAAAATCCAATTCACGATGAAGATTATCTCGAGGAAAGCGTGTTCCTGGTCTCAGTGAAAGGTGGACGGTTAAACGGCATTCCGCAAGTTTGTCGAACTTGCTGATTCGAACTTGTCCGCGGGACATGTCCGAGAGCGCGTCGCGCGCCATCTCGAGTTTTCGAGGGGGAGGAGGGCGGCCCAGGACTTTCGATACGGTGGGCTACAGTGGTTGGGTAATTAAACGCCGTGGAATCGATCCGCGGTTCGAACACGTGCTTCAACTTTGTGCCACAGAGATTATACTTTCTTCGATTGTAAATGGAACAATTCTATCCACGTTTTTCCCTTTAGTAAAGTAATTGTTTCATTCGTCGAAATAATTTAAAACGATTTCATTTTTCAAGATACTAAATCATTAACTTACAACTTCACTTATTTATATTAAAAATAATCCAGATGATCTTAACTAGTTTAAACTTTTTAAAGTTTATTATTCCTTTATATAATTATTAATATTCCTATACTCTGGAAGAGGAGCATCTTGGAAACGCGTTTCCAAGCAGGCGTAACGACACTGGTGGCGAGAACAAAGGACAGAAACAGAGAGAGAGAGAGAGAATGAGATGGAATCTGGAGGAAAGAAGAAGATGGGGACAGGTGGTACGTGACGAGGAGATCCGACACGTAGCAGGGATTCCTCTCTTTCCAGGTACGCGAAGTTGGACGGTAGCGTGACGCCGCCTGTGGTGCCTTGGAGTTGCTGTCGAATCGACGTGAAGGGCCCCTGCTTTCACGATCCCCTTCAACTCCCGAATCCAGAGCAGAATTCCTCTTACGAGAGCCTCAACCCTCGGGGCTGTCTCGCCCCTATGAAGATTATGCTAAACGGGACCCTCTACTCCGCCGCCGTGATGATCGCGTTTCTGTTCGTGTTTCAGGTATCGATCCTTATCGATCGAGATTAATTTCCTAACGGAACAATTATCTTCCCCATAAAGAAATATTTATAGCTTTGCTTTTGATGAACGATCGTTTGCATTCATTCGAAGATCTTCACGAAGAAATTTCACGCTTTCGATCGATCCAATATTGATTTCCGATTTTGACGTCGCAGAAATTCAGATTTAGAGTAAAATAACCACAAACTCGAGAGAGGGGAGTTCTCGAAAAATAGGGGTGGATTATCATCATTCGATATATCGTCCGGAATTATTGATTGTCCTCGATGATGATGTGTCATCGAAATTTCCACCGGATTTCAATAATTCTATTATATATAAAAATTCGTATCGAATCGTTACGTATAATAATAAAACGTAATATCGGAAGAGGATGTATTAGGGTTTCGTTCGCGTGAAAATAATACCCTATATCACGTATAAATAAATAAATATATATATTCACATCTCCCTCTCTTTCTATTCGATTTAATTCGTGAAGCCGGGGGAATAGTCACGGTTAATTAAACCCACCACCGGTCCCATCCACCTCGCAAGTTTTTCTCCCATCGACCGATAAATTAATCCGTTTAATCTCTATTCCATCCGCGTCGCCCCTCGTTACGCCCTTTGTCTCCTTCCGGTGTCGATCTATGCGAATTATCCGTCCCATATTCCTTTCGACGTATATTTCTCACTGGCTTTCATATACCTTTTTCGCTCTCGTATCTTGATTTTAGGACCGCGAAATAAAAACGGGTATTTGAATAAATGTTGAGAATGCGAATGGTCGTTCATTTGTATTTAAAAGAAAAAAGAAAAAAAAAATGGTCAAAGGAGATAAAAGAAAAATTCTTTTTATATATAATTATAAATATTATATTTAAATATTACTTGAGAGTATTCTCTTCCTTTTTCGAAATTATTATTAAACGTTATTATCACAGTCGAGCAAAGTGGAGATTAATCCCCTTTTCCCGTGGAACAGAAAGCGATCGCGTGTTATATTTCTCGAAATCCTATCCGATCCAATTTTTCGAATTTTTCGTAGCCGGGAAATTCTGCAAAGCGTGCAGCGATTTTTCACCAACGGGAACGCTCTTTGAGAACACCCGCGTCCCGTACACAAACAAAGTTTCTAAGAGCCATCATCAAGAAAGGCGGGGAGAGGAACTTTATCGAATTCTCTCCTCATAAAAGGAAAAAGAAAATACGCCAAGAAGCACACGCGTTCTTAGCATTACTCGGCTTGCATAGCTCGCCACCACGGTTGCCTCGGTGCTCAGTGATTCTCAACCCCCTCGCGTCGTTTCTTATTTAACAAAATAACCAATCTCTCGATTTATTTTATTTTAAAATTGAAAATTTCGAACACGCATTCGATATTTTCTAATAAAGAAATCCTTTTCCAGATGACAGTGGGCGTGTTGTCGAGGTTCGACTTCACGGCGGCGAGGAACGCGGTGGCGCTGGGCGACCGGTGGTCAGGCTCGCCCGGTTGGCTCTTTGGCCGCCTGGATTTCGGCTTAGCCCGTGGACCTAACCTCTGCCAGATCGATCGGGTTAGTGCACCGGGTGAATCGAGTCCCTCGAAAGATTTTCTTTTTTTCTCCATACATTTTTTTACAACGTCTCTTGTCAACGTTTGGGGATTCTCGCAAGAATCCTGTGGAATTTCGCAACCTCTGTCCCTCCTCCATAAGCTGCTCCACCTCCTATGATTGTGTACCCATGGAGCGGCGCCACTCGAGCTTTATTCGTTTAATTTTCTAATCTCTTCGGGATGGAAACGCGCGCGCAAACAACGGGAAGAAAAGTTCCCCTCCGTAATATTTTACTTTACATATGTACCCTGTTTGCATACCGTGATTTAGACGAACGAGGAGATTAATGCAATTAATAATTTTATTTACGAGAGGATCATCAATTTGTCAAAATTCATTGTTGCGTATAATTTATAATTAAGAATTAGATAAATTAAACAAGAGCCTCTTCCCTTTAATTTCTGACATCCTTTCAATTTCTCTTACGACAGAAATACAGTGGACAAGGGGACTCGATGATCGATCTTCGCCCGCTCGTATATTCCAGCGACTCGAATTGAGACCAGCGTCGAAAGAGGATCAACGAACACGCGTCGTATTTCCACGCGTCGAGGAGCAAAAATTCATTCCTTCGACGCAAATCGTCGTAAGAATCGTCGAAACGATCCTTTCTCGAGGCTTTTATCGAAATGAGAAACACAGGAGAAGGGAAGAGAGGGGGACGTTAGATTTAACGAACGCTCGATTAATCGATCATCGATTACGATACATCGTCCCCTGCGGACGACAAACAAGCCGCCCTCCTCCGTGGAAAAGGGGGATGGGGGTGGATAGGATAAGGGGACGTCCGTCGCCAGAAGATCGGACGATAGCTTTCACCATGATTATCCGAGGAATCGGTTAATCGAGTCGCGCCGCTAAATCGCTCGTTTCCACGTTTGTTGTCGAGGAGGAGGAAGAGGAGAAGGATGGATTCCGAACAAAAGGAGGAAGGATCGTGTTGTTGGAGAGGAAAAAGGAAAGGGGAACTGGACGATGATAAAGAAGAAACGAGGAGGATTCGATCCTCGTGTTTCGTCCGAGGGTACAGTATTGGATGCTGGGGAACAGGTGTAATTACAATCGGAGTGGAATAGGAGTGGATGAAGATGGTGAATTTTTTTTTTTTTTTTTTTTATATATAAATAGTCTGTTGATGGGGGAGTTGCAAAGATTTCGTGATTATCCATTCCCCCTCTCTCTGTCTGTGAATTTATTTCTTTCGTAACGGAAATAGAGGAGAGGAAATATAAAGTTTAGTTTCGTTTCGATATTTTTTTTTCTGATCGAAATTTATATTTGTTAATAATTTCTAATTTAGGAGTGGATGAAGATGGTGGATTTTTTTTTAAAGAAATATAAATAGTCTGTTGATGGGGGAAAAAAAGTTGCAAAGATTTTTTGATGCCTCCCTCTCCCTGTCTGTGAATTCATTTCTTTCGTAACGAAAATAGAGGAAATATAAAGTTTAGTTTCGTTTCGATATTTTTTTTTCTGATCGAAATTTATATTTGTTAATAATTTCTAATTTAGAAGTGGATGAAGATGGTGAATTTTTTTTTTTAAATATAAATAGTCTGTTGATGGGGGAGTTGCAAAGATTTCGTGATTATCCATTCCCCCTCTCTCTGTCTGTGAATTTATTTCCTTCGTAACAGAAATAGAGGAGAGGAAATATAAAGTTTAGTTTCGTTTCGATATTTTCTTTTTCTGATCGAAATTTGTATTTGTTAATAATTTGTAACTTAAGATCTAATTATTTAATTCGATTTTTAATTTAATTTTGTCGTTTATAAAAGGATACGTATTCGCAGTTTTGAAAAGAAACTTATATAAGAGAAAAAAGCGTAAAAAATTCCTCCCCTGTATGTGAATTCATTCCAGCGAAATGTTTTGTACGAGCGAAATATAGAGGAGAGAAAATACAAAATTTAGTTTCAATACTTTACTTCTAAACGATAATTGCATGGAAATTTCTAGAAATTATTTATTTATTTAATAACTTGAGATCTCTGATTCTTGGTAAATATAATAAATTGTTCTTAATTTTATCGTTTAGAATCACAAAGAATCTAATTTCCAATTCTTCGAGAGTATTAAAAATCCCTCGTTCGAAAATCCCTGAAGAAAGGAGCGGCCTTCACTTCCGGGTGAAGAGAAGCATAATTGCTGGCTCGATTCTAAACCGCCTGGTTTAATCGCAAGAAGGGAGGAAGGGATCCTCCTGGAGAATTCTCGGACACGCCTGGTTCCGCTCTCGCGTGGCCGCTGACGAGGGTGCGGTTCTTTCGTCGAGTGTCACGCGAATAAAAGCGTTTCTTGCGGTTTTAAAAGCGGGCAGAATACTGAAACGTCATAAAACTCGACGAAACGTTTGAGAAGAAATATTCTCCGTGGAATGAAAGTCAGATGGATAAGTTATGACGAGAAAATAGCAAAAATAGTTTGCGAAATTTTGAATATATATTATATTCCATTCCATCGCGTATAATTTCTCTTTAGACGAAACTGTCTATAAGAAAATAAGAAAACTTGCGAATTTCCTGGATTATGTATTGTCGTGGAAACGAAGTTTTGGATCGGGGTCAAAGATCAAAGATCAAAAAGAAATAGTCAAACTTTTCCTTTTTTCCCCCCTCATTAATAAAAGAATGTGATGGTTTCAGAAGTGCTTTGGTTTCAGGGGGAAACGATCGAAGCTACTTTTTGATCATGAATATTGATGGTCGAAGCCAAGGTGTGGTATAACGAGTTATATTCAAATTTTGTTTATCGTTAAATTTCGAGGGAAAACGTGGAAAAGTAGAATCAATATTTTACGAATATTTTACAAATCACGAAATCCCATCTTGACGATCGAACGAAATTTAAATAGAGTCGGATTTAAAGATTGTGAATAAAAAAAAGAAAAATACGAAAAGAAAATGGCGAGAAACCCTTTCTTTGGTATTTATTTTCTTCCGATTTTCTTAAGGAGGTGAAAATCTGGTGAAAACACAGGCACAATCCTCCATCTTCCTCTCTCCCCTCCCCTCTCGAATTTAATAACGGCGGGTTTTTTCGCAAGCCGTTGCAATTTCCTGCGACAATGGTTAACGAAGTTCTTACGGTTCTCCACGTTTTCTTTACGGTGTCACCGTAAACCGACCGGTTTTACGTGACGTTCGACGTATTAACGCTTATGGGGGGAACGGCGCGCGACCAGGTTGGCCGATGAGAAATCGAGAGAGGGAAGTGTATATCTATGGCGGGGCGGGGTCGACATTATTTCTGGGGGGGAGGACAAAGTTTAAACGTTCTTTCGTTAAATTGAAAATTGAAAATTTTTCGAATCCGATCTTGTTGAAAAAATTATCGATGGTGAGCTGGAGATTTAATCATTTTTAATCCAAAGATTTGATTATTTCTTAGGATCTAAAGGGGTGATCGCAAGAGGACCATTCCTGGAGGAATCTCTTTGACCGATTCGAAAACGCTTCGCCGCCTCTTTCTTCGATCTTCTTGTTCTCTCAAGAGGCGTTGTTTCTTCGCACAAAATCGTTTATACGGGGAAACTTTATGCAATCTCTTTTCCACTCGATATTATCCGATCTTCGTTTCTCGCGTAGAATACAATTCAATTTTCATTTTACAAAAAAAAAAAAATTGTTTCACCTCTCCGTTTTTTAAAACTCGCTCTCCATTTCACACCCGCAATTCTTCCCATTTTATTTCAAAATTTTCGCATCGAATAATTTTCCCTCTACGTGTAATCTTTATATTATTCCCCTAATTTTTCTTCTTCTTCTTCTTCTTCTTCCATTCGATTAATTCGAAATTTACTATAAAGGGAAAGAATAAATTAAAAAAAAAAAAAAAACGACCCTCCTCACCCGCATCTCTCCCCTCGAGCGTGGACCGATGTCAGCGCGCGGATTACAATACATGGAACGATCGGGTTACGAGCGTGACGAGCCCCGATTCGAGCTGATTTTCAGAAAATCGAAAACCCGCTCGTCCACTCCAAGCTCGTACGTGTACCCGGTTATCCCGGCTGGCCATTGTTTCCGTTTCGATTCGATCGACGAAGAGGAGGGAGGGGCGATCGAGAAAGCAGTTAGAACGTCGATGGTGGCTGCACGAGACAGCGGAAGCACTCGAGGAAATCCCCTCGCTCGCGGGATCGAATCGATCGGTAAAGAAGAGTCGACAAACAACCGCGGATCCCCACCCGCTCTTTACCCCCAAATTGAAATTCGATTTTCGGCGGAAGAGCAGTGGACTTCCCTCCCCTCCCTGGAAGGAAGCTGAAACCTTATGATGGATGTGTGAAACGAAGATCGAAAGAGAAGATTTAAGATGATAAGAATGTAAAAACAAAGTGTGAAATGATCGGATTAAAATTTGCGAATCGAATCGTTGTGTAATTTTATCGATCTCTAATTTTATTCGGATTATTAATTGAAAATCATTTCGGGATTCGAAATGGCCAAAGCGCCATGAAAAAGAAAGAAATAATACCTTTCGTTAACGCGTGCTCCACCAATTTAATTTTCCCCTCGTAAATATTTCGGCGGGCATTAACCGCTTTACCAAACATCCGAATTTAACATGTATTCCGCTCGCAATCGAGAGACTTAATTTCTGTCCGATCCATCGATCGTTTTTCCAATAAAAAAAAAAAAAGGAAGGAAGGAAGAAACGAAACAAATCCTTCTTTAAATTTACCATTTTCAACCGGCGAAAATGCTCGTGATACTTGCCATGATATCAGGAACAGGATATCCTCTCTCTTTCTCTCTGAACGAGAGAAGTCGAAGGAAGGAACGTTAAAGCTGTTTTCACATTGTCGTTCGCGGAGGAATTCTCCGCCCCGAGTACTTGCCATGGTAATCAAGTGGAAGCCCACCGGCTGGGTCCATTCCAGATTGCCCCTCGTTCAATTAGCATACATACGATGGCCACGTACGACTCCTTCCTCCGAAAGAGGAGGAAACCTCCGAGCGTTAATTGATTCGACGCGTCCTCCTTCCAAAAAATAATCCGTCACCATTTTCTTTCTCAGAGAAATGAATGAATTTGGACGATTGATTGACAACGATCGATACGCAACGTATTAAGAGATAAGAGACAGTGTCATCTTCGATATCCACGTTAACACAGCGATTCTCCAAGTGTCCGCAAAACATTTCAGCTTCCATCCCTTTTCCACGTGTGCAATACACCGCCCGTATTCGAACTTCTCGTGTTTTCCACTCAGCCCATTTTTCCTCCCCGATGTTTCCTTCCCCTTGGAATTTCGAAAAGTTTCCATTCCACCGTTCGACCGTGAAGCAATAAGAAGCGAGAAGAGGGGAGAAATTTCAAATCCCACCCCGTCATTCGGTTATCGATTTTTATTTCTCGCCGCCATTTTCGATGAGATGAAAATTAGCGCATCGAGTTTAATAGTTCGAAGATTATGATGCATCATGCAAAGCTTCTTTTTTAAAAGGAAAAGGAATTGTTGCTTCATTTGCATCCCTGAACTAACGTTAATATTATTTACATAATTGCGGAGGGTGCCATTGAAATAAATATATGAAAAAAGCATGGCAATTTGATGATGTTATTATAGTTACTGAATTATTATTAAAATCTCTTATAAAAAAGTTTATAATGAATCTTCCGCGTTAATAATTGTGTAAATGAAAATAATAAGTCTGAATATATTTTATTTTGGCAAAAATTAATAAAAGGCGAAGGAATATGAAATTTCGCGGAAGAATACCGGGCGCGTATCAGCTCGATCCGATTAAGTTTCGTGTAAATTTCAGCCAGGATCCGTGTATCCGTGTCGTATTTCATAACTCGTTGCCTCGTTGCACGGGTTCTCGTTCCTTTAATTTCCGCCTTCCTGCCCGGCCTCGACGCGATATATTCGCCTCCGTCCCGTTGCAAATTCGTCTGGCGGCCAATTACGAAAACGATACCTGGCAGTCGATAAACTTTCCGCCACAGCCTTCGATTCGCGTTGAGCCAGAAGTTATCGAGAATAAAAAAAAAGGTAAGGGGATAATAAGGGGATCAAGATTCTTTGCTTCGTAAATCGAAGGAAATATGAATTCAGTAGTTTAATTAGAAGGTATTAAGATCGAGAGGCAACATTCTTTTCTTAATTTCACTCTTTGCGAAAGATAATGCTTGGATAAACCGTTCGTTTGGCATATAAAAAAGATTTTTAGAGTCGAAATTTTTAGAGTGAAATTAATCCGTAACAAATAGTTTTAACGGGGAATTAAAGAAAAATTAATCAAGTTGCAACGATAACGATATCAATCGTCAACAAACCTTCGATCGCAAAGCTATAGATCTTCCTTCCCAGTTTTCAAAGCTCCATTACTCTTCCAGCTTATCTCAAAGGAACGATCCTCTGCCACCTAGGAAGGGATAAAAAAGACGTTGCTCGAAGGACGATCCAGATCCCTTATCCGAGGGAAGCATTCTTTTAGTAAAAAAAATGTTGGAATCCAGGAAACGGAAACCACTTCTTCCCTCCTGTGGTTGGCATCTGGACGACGAAATACGGGAAACAAATCTAGTGGGAGAATCCAGTGGCCAGTTTTCT